CTTTTCAAAATATATTCATAAAGAATAACAGATGCATTAAAAAAAATCTCTTTTTAATTTTTTAAAATTTTAACATGTTATTTTCTAGTAATTATATATTTTAATTAGAACAAATCACTAAAAATTGTAGAAAAATTATAGCGCATAAAGAAAATGAACTTTCAAAATAATATCCATAATATGAATGTTTAGACCATGAAATAATAAAATAATTTTTAGTTTTAAAAAAATAATTTGTTAACCATTAAATTTAAATATTTAATGAGTATAATGATAAAATAAATGCCCTTAGAATGTGTGTGACGCGGAATTCTGTAAGAGCAATGTGGTGTTCTATAAAAAATAGTTTTACACTGATGATTTTTATGCTGACTGAAACTTTTGAATGCTTTTTAAGTCCAAAATTAATATTTATGTTGTATTTCACGATGTAGAGTAAGAATATCGAATACAGGCTTTACTCTAGCCAGGTTCAAGAGAATAAACGTACATCCAATGGGAGATAAAGGACTTCCCCGAGTTTGATGACATCGTCGGCATGTCATGATCTGACTACGAAAACCAGTATACACATACAACATTAACATTTAAATGTTTCACTCAAATACTGTTTTGGAACTTTGTTACCTACTTGATTTTTAGTAAGTGTTATGTAGTGATTAGTGATGTTAATATTTCGGAAACTTTTGATTGTTGCAGGAAATTTCCGAAACTTTCGGAAATTTATGACATTTTAGGAAATTTTACAATTTTACATATTTTTTGTTTTGATACAATGAATAAATTAGATAGACATTTGATACCAACATGTCAGTGGAAAAAAAAACAATAAACATAATATTAGTTGTTATATTTTTAATAAACAATACATAACTCCTAAAAGTCATAACCATAACATATAACAAAAATTATTTGGTAACATTTGTACTTTGTACATAAACCATGAACTATGACTATGAACTTAAAAACAACAAAAGAGCACGAAATATTAATTTAAAAAACGTAAAACACAAATAACTGAATTATTCTATTCCGGAATACTTTCAGGCGCCGAGCTGGTCCCATCTTCATAGGGTATTATAGTAGTAGTAGTAGTAGTAGTAGTAGTAGAGTAGTACTGTCTTCGTCAGTTTTTATTTCCAAATCAGGTATATTTGATGTATCATCTGGTTCTGATTCTGAAGGATGGACCTCTACCTCTACAGGTTCTAGTAGTTCTGGAGGAGTTTCATGTTGTTGCATATTATCATGTTCCATATCCACTTTTTGTTTTTGTAGTAATAATTTATTGTTATGAGCTACGAACATTATTTTGCCGGCTCATTGTGCAGTTAAGCGATTCCTTTTTTAGTATGGATAAAACTGTAAGTACTGAAACTTATCTCAGTGGCTGCAGATGACGTTGGTAAAGACAGCAGAGCAACAGCTAAATATTTCAACTGAGTATTTTTACATATTGTTTGCCACCAACTTAGACAGTCTGCATTTTTAACTGACATCCAAACGTAGTCGAGAGCCCATAAACCCGATTTGGCGCAATAATTTGTTACATCTGTAAAAATGGCTTCTTTATTATTGACAAACTGAGGATGTTTGTTGGTGATATTGTTGATAAATTCCATAGCGGCTATGTGTTCTTCATTGTTAAGGTGCTCTCACAGGAAACAGAGGGGGCCAAGAGATTCGCGGCAAAATGCATTATTTTAAAAGCCATACGTTTTCTATTTTGTAAGGCGGAGAAGCATTATTTTTCTTCTGATTTAAGAATAGGCATACTTGATACACTTTCGTTAAATTTTTGCTCAATGTCTTGAATTTTTAAAAGAAATTTCTTGCAAAATTCGGATTTTTGCGAATATTCGCGATTTTGGGACCGAATATTTCGGAAATATCTGAAAATTCCTGCAAAATTCGAATGGGAATATTCGCTACCAACATCACTAGTAGTGATAAACATTAACTACGTAATATATTAGAAATAAATCAAAAGAAAGAGTTAATAATAATAATAATTAAAGTAATTTTAGTTTTCAAGCATATTTTTTATGTTCTTACATGATTATATTTAAATATAAACTGGCAGATTACATCTCTGCTATTTTTAATATTGTTTATTCATTGTTCATTAATGCACTTGACATTTAAAATAGAGCTGAAAATTTAATCAGGACGTCACACAAATTTCAAAGGTTTTGATGTCAACTTTCTTTAATATTACTCTGTGTTCTGCGATTACATTGGTTGTGGTATTTTAAATTGTCAAGGAATTTTGTACGGCGTGATGTAGTGTTTAGTTCGTAAAGATCAGTTTGACATATATTCGATTTTTTTTTAATTATAATTTTTAATGTGGAAATAATGTATTTTATTACTGTATTATTTAAAATTTAACATGTCTGTAATGTTTGGCAATGAAATCATTCCACAGGCCACGATTTCGTTACTTTTTATCGAATAAATTTGAAACTAATAGGATTTAAAATATAGTTTATCAATAACTCACATTTCCAATTAACTTTTTTCAACTTCCTATCACCAGTTGGTATTATTTTTCAAAATGGAAGCAAAATATCTAGTTTGGTACTACACGAACGTTAATCTATGGCACGTTAGTTATAAAACAGTTAATATATTTTCAACAATTAATAGATTCCTACAAGGAACTGTCATAATACAGGAGGTATTTTTGAAGTAATTAAAAAGCAATTTTTAGTTAAATTCATTTCACTTAATTAAGGACCTAATTTTGCCAAAGTACTTTTAATATGAGATTAACGTTAAAATGTTTTTAAAAACATTAGTCTGATCCCTGATCGTAATCATTTAATAATTTGAATATTATCTCATCTTTTTTCTTCCTGAGGTAATTTGGAATAGGCCTGTTCCAAACACCGGAACACCGTTTTAACACCGGTGTTGGGCTGACACCGGTGTTCATCTGCGACACCGGTGTTGGTTTGGGCACCGGTGTTCATCTCAATACCGGTGTTGGTCTGGACACCGGTGTTCATCTCAATACCGGTTTTGACTACGACACCGGTTTTGATATCGACACCGGTGTTTGGTAAACGGGTTAAAGAAGAGAAATAATGTTAATTAATAAGTTCAAAATAAACCTGATAATAATAATGTCGTATCGGTGCTTATTTTTATTGTTTATTAAAGCGCACCACAAACCAAAACCAAAACAAAACATAAGGAAGCAAAAATTCGTAGCTGTAAAATGAACTAAAAATATTACATTAAAAAAACTAAAAAAACAAACAAACGGCGCCATCGACACCGATACCGGTGTTTATCTCGACACCGGTGTTCATCGCGATACCGGTGTTAAGATAAACATCGGTGTTGAGATAAACGACGGTGTCGAGATAAACACCGATGTTGAGATAAACACCTGTGTTGTAGATGAACACCGGTGCTGAAATGAACACCGGTGACGGTGTTGAGATAAACACCGCCACCACCGTACACCGACTGAAACACCGGTGGTCATCAACACCTAACACCGGTGTTCAAATTTCAACACCGAACAGGTCTAATTTGGAAGAGTGCTACTTGCTTCTTTTTAATGCAATTCTCTTTCAACAATACAAATAAATTTTTATGTTATACGCCCATCCAACCCTTCACATCCACTATTGCCGCTTATTTTAAACTAGTTATAAGATTCCGATATTTTATCCAGACCAAGCAGACAAAACAACGACAAGACAGAATTTCATTCATGTTTTACGACAGAATTGCGACAAATCCAATACATTTATGCGACATTTTTGTCTCGTTTTTGTTTTGTTTCAAAATTCGGAGAGATAAAGATCAAAGTGTACGTTTTGTTCGTATATTTTACGACAAATTGTCGGCGCAGTGTGGATGGCATGTGCTGCCAACAGTAGGAGACCAGTAAAATGACACATGATTAATAAAACTCATTCGCAACAACTAAACTTTTAACTTTGTTGTTCTTTTGTGTTTGCGGTGTGGACAATTTGTCTCAAGTTTGCCTTGTCAGAAGTCCCCATTTTTTGTCGCAAGTTTGTTTTTGTCTCAAAATCGTGTTTACCTTTTGTCCCCTTGGTCTGGACCCGGTAGTAGATGCTATACAGAGTGGTCCGAACTGTATATAAGGCGCACCCGGTATACAAAAGTATTATTATTTGTATTTGTTCCATGAATAACGAATATTCAACAAATAGATAACTTCAAGACCCCTCTTCATGGCTGTGGCATCTCAGATCATCCTTGATGCCGAATTGATGTATGTGGATTGGAGTAAGACGCTGTCCACTTCTCATATGTGTTGAAGTTAAAATTTTCTCTATGGAAATATCACCAAGAGTACCAAACCACGAGGAGTTTTCGAACGAGGCCTTTTCGACCACGAGGAAATTTCTGGAATTTATCATTTTAAAGTACCCCTCGTTTCCTGAATTGAACATCGAACAAGCTTTATTTGAATAAAAGCAAATTCATTCAGTCAAAAGCTTCGTATACGAGTAAAAGTTATAATTTTCTTTTTGGAAACATGACCAAGACACAGATTAACTTACAGATGTGGCCTTTATTTCATCTTGCTGATAAACGCCGCCGCGCCGTGACCTCGGACATAGGGCTATGGCGTTGTCAGACTTTTTTTGTTTTTTTTTCTCGAATGCATTGTTGGCTTTTGAAAAATGTCTTCCCAATTGAAATAATACTTAATCTGTGGCATGCTTGCTGGTGGCATGCAAGGGACCGAATACATCCTTGGTTTATTTAGTTTCTGCGTCTTACCGATAAATTTGTGTCAATCTATAACCAATTAGTACCAAACCACGAGGGCTTGTAAAACTTCTGGAATTTATCGTTTTAAAGTACCCCCCGTTTTCCGTGTTTCAATTGAACAAGCTTTATCTGAATGAAAGCAAATAAATCCATCGCACAATTATTTGAGGAAACATCTCTAGACCGGCACCGTCCCTACTCGGAATCGGCGGCAGCGAAGACCTTGAGCCGGTGGCGGCAACAGCGCATGTGCACACCTTTCGAATTTTCAAGAACACCTCGTCGGGGCGGTTCGCGAACGCGGCCACGTGGTAAATTCTACATCCGCCGGTCGCAAGAAACGAACGCGTGTTTTTCAATCGCTCGCTCGCAGCAGGCTTGGCAAAGTCCTGCTACAGGTTATTATCGCGTCTCTGTGACATTTCTTCGCCCTGTCAGTTATTATTTTTTTATTTTTTTGTAATCGGTGTATTATTGTTTTTTAACAATTAACGAGGGTATTCAATCCGTATTCCGGTACCGTTCATCGGCGGAGAATTGTTATTTTTCGAGATTTGCGTCGATCGTCTTGAGTAAACAGCTGTTACGGTTTTTTGCGCGTTGGATTTTTTGCTTCTTGCAGAACATGGTACGTAGGCCTGCACTTTTTCTACATGCTATTTTAATAATTTAGGCTAGTTTACAGGTTGTCTAATATGGAAAATTATTTAAATAAAATATTTGAATTTTTTACTGAGTGCTTTGCAAGATGACACTTTCATTTTACCGGCGTAGTATTATTTAAATAAATTTAAAAACAATAATTTAACATGTTTATTACATTTTTGTTTAGTAAGAAGTGAAAAAATACCTAAATTTTTGTTTAGTGTCTTTATAGCAAATTTTTAAAGCATTATTTTCTTATTTACTTATATTTTTATTTTGTTACGATTTTTACTAGCTTTTAACTTTTGTTTTTTTCTCTCTTTTAGCAAACTTTATGCCACTTTTAGTGTTTTTTAGGATTGTTATTATACAATATCAACTATTAATATTAATTTATTAATTAATTCGTATTTTGGTCTTTTACAATTTAATCTTTGTGGATGAACATTGTATAAATTTTTATTCCTTCAAAATAGCGACAAGCAGGCACCTGGTATCGTTCTTACCATAGGTTCTTACGAAATACGTAGGGTACCATAAAAAAGTTATGTAATATTTTATGTTTTTTTTATGCTTAACCGTGACGTTTGCTGGATAATTTATCAAATAAATCATTCCACCTATAATCGAATGAATAAATGTTTCCATTGTATATTTTGTATCCGGATTTTTTATGATTTATCCGGTTCGTTATTATGTTTATAATTCCGACAATTGCATCTTACTAAATATATGAAAGAGAAAATTTGACAAACAAAAACAGTTTAACCGATAACATTAAACATAAGATCACTGATAATGCTTAATTAAAATAACTATACAAATTAAATCTTTCAGTTTATTAGGATGTGAGCACTCACTGGCTCAGTGCAAATATGGAGTAAGCTTCAGATTGATTTAGAGATAATTTATTAACTAAACTCTAAACAACGAACATTCCTACTTGTGTTTATTCAGAATTTGATTTCATTTTAGTTTTAGGGAATAAAAATGATGAGGTGGAATACAGTTTTAATGATTTTAACTAGATACATATGCTGTTATAGCTGCTGTTTTGTGATTTCTAGTTATCGACATTTTTCAATTGAGGGGCTTAGAATAAAAGGGGTACAAGTGATTTTTTGTACTAAATAGACTTAAGTACATATTTAGACACTTTAGGTACCAATTTATTTAGAATAAAAGGAAATTAAGTAAATTTTACATTCTGCTCTACTTAGTGCCACTGTAGAATACGAGTATACTTAATTCCATTTTAAACCAAATAAAACGGTATCTAAATTATCTGCATTTGGAAATAAGTCACTTGTGCCTAGTACCCCTTTTATTCTAAGCGCCTCAATTATTGTATTATTATTGAGTAAACAAATTGTTGCAAACTGATTCACATATTTTACTTTGTGTAAATATAAAAGAGTTCATATAAAACATTTGTTTCTTAAATAATTTTAAAAACCAAACCAAACCAATCAACGCTAATTTAAACCTCAAAACAATTTCTTCATTTGAATTGTTTTCTGTAAATCTAATTGGCTCTAGTTAGAGATTTTTATCGAAAACGTTAATTTTACGTATTATACATTATAGGTATCTATATAGAATCAGTCAGAATACAATATTGATTTATTTACTCAAGCACTTTATAAGCGTGGAACGCGATGCTCAATTAGAGCTTTTATCAGTTTATGACCCCACAAAATGTTTACCATCAAACAAATTAACAGAAAATTCCATAGTTTTTGATTTTTTTAAGTTTACAGGAATGTTTAAAGATTATATAGTAACATTGATGTTATAATAGTACCTACCAGGTAGAAAATAAGAAAAACAGCATTACCTATAACACTTAAAAAAATTCTTGGAACTGTCAAAGTCGTCCGCATGATCATGAAACAAACGTTAGAACGGACGGTATTCAAGTGAAAGATTTAAAATCTTTGGTCAAAGGGCGGAAAAGTAAATTTTCCAAAATGTCCATTATTTGTTCGTAAACAATCGTCGTTTAGAATTTTAGGCTATATTGGGTTCTTTCATTGGCGGCTGGTCCTAAGAGGCATACGGACACTTTCTTGTCCAACCGCGAAGATAAAGGTAAAAAAATTAATATGTACTGTGCATTATGACACTTTTCCGTAACACTTTATACTACCAAATAATAACATCATCTAGCAAGAAAGATATACTATGTACTTCATACTATGATTTTTCTTTTGTGAGGGCTGTGCCCACCGTTCTTCAGAACTCACGGACCGCCACTGGTTTCTTTGAAATGCCTATTGTCTATTCAGGTAGTAGCTTTGAAATAGGTGGGTTCCTTTGCAGTGATTTATTTTAGTGTAGACTAACCTAAGTCTCGGTATTGTGTAAGCCATGAAGAATACTCTATGATCGAAAAAAAAGCGTAAAGTTGCTTTAGCCCACCCCTATAACTTTTATTTTTTCCGTTAAGATAAAACTCGAAATTTGGTATGTTAGTATATGACATAAATCGGAATTGACTGACGTAATAAGTTAGTTTTGGCCACTTCCTGTTTCACCGGAAATGACTCCAACTTTTTTATTTTTAAATGGTACTGTCGATATTTTTTTAGGTTATTTGATAGAAAATGACATTCTGAATAGAATGACATGTCATAAGTACCTATATAAACTTTTGACATTTTTAATTGACCAAAACATTTTAAATTTCAATGTAGCCATGGCTATGTTAAAACCGTTAATTTTTTAATCAAGGAGCCTTAGAAAAATACATTTGATCGTCTAATGTTTTTCGTGTCTTTTCCTTACAGGTTAAAAAGATGCCCAGATCGTATTTTAAATTTTTTTTACGAATAATTTGGTACCACATGCTTTCTATTTCGAGTCAAATTGTCCTTAAGCCGCGTATACACTTAGCGAACGCATACGTTCGACCAAATCCGCACACATGCGGTGATTTTGTTTGAAGTACTTTTTCGCTGTTGGCTGTTACGTACACACATAGTGAACGCATCATATATCTGTTTGCTTGCGGTAGTATTCCCTTTGAAGTACCGCCAAGTCAGCGAACGCAACCGCACGCGAACGTATGCGTTCGTTTCTACATACACATTTCCCGAATTCGTTCGTTCTATGCTGCCGTATGCGTTCGCTAAGTGTGTACGCAGCTTTATATTTAAAATACTGTTTGAAAATGTCAAAAATTGGCATATTATGATATACCACTCTATTGAGAATGCCCATTTTCTATCAAATAAAGTAAATACAGACGGTACCATCTAAAAATCAATTATTGTAGTCATTTCCGATGAAACAGGAAGTGAACGAAATTAAATGATTATGTTATTCAATCTTGATTTATGTCATATAGTAACATAAACCCCAATTTTCATATGAAAAAAAAACAATAAAATACTACAGGGTTGAGCCAGTTTTGAAAAACACCCGTATATATACAAGGTGAGTCTTAAATAAGTGGAAATATTTTAGGGGTAGTATATTTTGACCCCAGAAACACGAGTTTTTTTTCGCGAAACAAAAAATTTTAAAATTTGGATTTTTTTTAGTTTTTAGTTAAAAACTATGATTTGTAGATGATATGGTAACTGGTAACATAGGTAATACATTAAATTTACAAGAAAGAAAATCCAGAAAAGATCCAGTGGTTCTCAAAATTTTAACAAAAAATCATTTTTTTTTTAATTTTCAAAGTAAAGTATCTCGGTTATTTTAGATTTATTTGAAAAACGGTAAAGAGAAAATATGTTTCTTTTATTGAGATCTACCAGCCCTGAAAATATTTGCACTTATTTAAGACGCACCCTGTCTACTAAAACGTGAAAAAAAGTTAGACATCAATTTGATAGGCTTTTTAGCTCTTTACTTTTAAAAACTTTGCGACAGTAAAAAAATGGCTTCGCCCGGAAAGATGCAAAAAACTGCGTTTGAGTGACTTTGGCGCCCTCTAACTTTGTCATCATAGGTTTTAGAGGTTTGTTACTTAGAGATGAAAATGTAGAGAATTTAATTTTCTTCTCTCTTTTTTTTTGTTCCATAAAATTTTCTGTGGGACCGGAAAAATCGAGTCCCAAATTTTTTTGAGTTTCTCAAAAACGGTGGGGTGGGGGGATATGAATTTTCGAATTTAAGCTTTTCCAGTGGACCACTTACGACTGGCAAAGTATGAGAGCGGGGGTAATTTGATGGGAGTCTAGACGTTTTTTGACCAGATTGACTGTAGTAATGGTATTTGCGATTGTTTCGTGTTTTCTTTTTGGACTTTTAATTGCATTTAAAAAATCAAATCCTTTTAATATTTCAAATACAGAAAATTTAAGAAACATTAAGAGTATGTTTATAGAGCACGTTATAGTAATTTATATTATTTGTATTTCTATGAAATAACGGTAATACAATTTACCAGCGAAACATGATAAGAATGCCGACTGAATACTTTTTTGATATGCCTACTTAAATTTCGCATATTTACTAAAATATGATTATTTATTTGTGATAAGTAAATATCATTTTTTAGCAGTAATAACGTGTATGTACTTTAAAAAATTATATCAAATAGGTACGTTTTTGAGTATCGCGTTCTCTTTTAGCTAAAAAAATATTTTAAATAATTGTTTATCAGAATTTTATAATTGAATGCCTTTTGATATGAATAGTATAGTTTTGATTAATATTATCTATTGTTAAAGAATAAATTTAATTTATATATTATGTAATAGATTAAATAAATTTTATTACGTGCAATAATAATAATATAATTCTCGTACTGCAGCGTTGCCGGATTTAAAAAAAAATCTGTATTATCGGCATTTAATTTTATTTGCCCCCAACAATGTGGAAATTATAAATCTCCAGTGACTGCTTAATCAAACGTCAATGTGTTTAACCAATTAGCATAATTTTCTACAAAATAAGGAATATGTTAAAACACGGATTAATTGATCATTATTTTACTGCCAGTTGAGGTAAAAAGCATTTGCAATTAAA